TTGTGGTAGATGTAAAACGTAGATGCCTGAGCGATACGCAAACAAAGTTGAGTACCCAATGTGCATCGGAACACACTGGATATGAGCCAGTCTTTTCCATTCAGAATGACCACAAATTCAAAGAGCTTCTAAACTCATTCAAGGAGGTGACAATGCCTGTTTCATATAACTACAATAACGAGCCTAAGACTACGGTTCGCCACCAGATTATCACCACTGGTCAGCCTGTTTTTTCGCGTGCACGGCGGCTAAATCCGCAAAAACTGCAAGCAGCCAAGCAGGAGTTCGAGTATATGTTGAAGCAAGGAATTTGTAGACCATCCAAGAGTGAATGGGCGAGTCCACTAAATATGGTGCAAAAAGGAAATGGTTTGTGGCGACCTTGTGGCGATTACCGTCGACTTAATGCCCAAACAGTTCCTGACCGCTATCCTATTCCACACATGCAAGATTTCACGCATTCGCTAAATGGAAAACGCATTTTTACAACGTTGGATTTAGAAAAGGCATACTTTAATATACCGGTTGCTGAAGAGGATAGAGAAAAAACAGCAATAATTACACCTTTCGGCCTGTACGAATTTAATGTGATGACTTTTGGACTTTGTAATGCAGCACAATCATTTCAAAGGTTCATGGACCAAGTTCTTTTCGGACTTAAGTTTGCTATATGTTATATTGATGATATTTGCATCGCATCCGATAACATAGACGAGCACATACAACATGTGCGCAGCGTGCTACAACGTCTCCAGGAACATGGTTTGAAAATAAACATTGCAAAATGTGTGTTCGAAGAGGAAGAAGTAACATTTCTTGGTCATCTCATTAATCATAAAGGAATTCGTCCCCCAGGCAAGAAAATTGAGACGATTGCAAATTTTCCAAAACCAAAGGTAGTGCATGAGCTACGGCGATTCATTGCAATTATCAATTTTTATCGACGTTTTATTCCAAAAGCGGCGGAGATCCAGGGACGGCTTCAGAACTTAATTAAGGGTAACAAAAAACAGGACAAAACTGTTATTGAATGGACCGCGGATGCAGATAACGCATTTGCGGAATACAAAGAAGCCTTAATTAATGCAACAACAATCGTTCATCCAATTCCAGACGCAAACCTTGTACTTCACGTGGATGCAAGTAACGTAGCTGTTGGCGCTGCATTAAATCAAATCAATAACGGACAACTCGAGCCTTTGGGGTTTTACTCAAAGCGGTTGACGAATACTCAAGTCAAGTACAGCACGTACGACCGTGAGTTGCTCGCGATTTACCAATCGGTTAAATATTTCAAACATGCGATTGAAGGTAGACGTTGCACTATTTTCACTGATCATAAGCCGATAACGTATGCATTTCGACAGAAACCGGAAAAGGCATCGCCACGCCAACTAAGACACTTAGATTACATCGGTCAATTCACAACTGACATTATGCATATAGCTGGTAAGAATAATCCGGTAGCTGATTTTCTGTCACGTATCGAAGCTGTCAGCAATGAAGATTTAGTTGACTTTGATCAATTAGCAGAAAGCCAGAAAACCGACATTGAAACAAATGATTTTCTGTCTAAAACGAATAAATCTGCACTTCAACTGAAATGGATATTCATTCCAAATTCATCTAAGGAAATTGCATGTGATGTATCATCAAATCGTGTGCGTCCTTTTGTAACTGAACAGTTTAGACAACGCGTCTTTAATTCAATACATAATTTAGCACATGCTGGTCGGCGAGCCACTATTAAGCAAATAGCAGAACGTTTCGTATGGCCGGGCATGGCAAAAGACATTGCGGAGCGTGTTAAATTATGTCTTCCGTGCCAACGAGCAAAAGTCACTCAACATAATAGATCAGCAATTTTGAATTTTGACGTACCAAGTGAGCGGTTCGCTGTAATTCACATTGACCTCATTGGGCCTCTACCATCGTCAAACGGTTACCGATATTGCCTTACATGTATCGATCGGTTTACCAGATGGCCAGCGGTAGTCCCTATCGAGGATATACATGCCAGCACGGTAGCCACAGCGCTCATCAATGGTTGGATCATGCACTTTGGCGTTCCGAAGCAGATCATAACAGATCAAGGAAGACAGTTCGAGTCAGCACTGTTTAATGAATTAGCGAAACTCATTGGTGCCAAACATATCCGAACTAGTCCACGTCATCCTCAAGCGAATGGTTTGATTGAACGTTTTCATCGGACTCTGAAAACTGCAATGAAATGTAAGCATGAACATCAATGGTCTGATGCAATACCTTTGATTGTGTTAGCGCTTCGAAATATCTTTAAAGAAGACCTGAAAGCAACTCCAGCAGAAATGGTATATGGGACAACTTTGCGGTTACCGAGCGATTTCCTGGAACAAGGTAATAATGACAAAATCCCAGAACATGAATTCGTGGAAAACATGAGACAGATGATGTCTCAAATACGATCAGTTCCTACATCAAATCACTCAAATGAAAAGGTATTCTTACAGAAGGAACTACAACATGCTACTCACGTGTTTTTGAGGGATGACAGTGTCCGTCCACCATTAAAAACACCATACGATGGGCCATTTAAGGTTGTGAGGCGTTCAGACAAGACATATGATCTTCTAATCAAAGGAAAACCGGTGCGGGTGAGTGTTGATCGGGTAAAGGCAGCATTTTTATCAAGTGACAATGAAGACGTAAGCCCATCACGTACAGAAAATATGGCAGATACTCGAATGGATACCAAATCAAGTAATGTAACACGAAAGGGATGGTTAGTGCAGGTTCCAAGAAGATATGTTAAATTTGACTTAACGTGACATCGCACATGACTCAGTCACTGCCAGGGGAGTGATGTGGCGGTTGCATATTCACATGATCTAGGTTGGCCATGCAAATTCGGACAAATAAATTATTGAAACTAATAATATTTTGATTTAGTAAAAAACGGAAGGTTGTCATTCGTACACGTATAATTATTGTACTCGAAATTGAATTTTTTATAATATATAAACTTTAAGAATTAAGTAGGGCAAAGCCTACAGTGTCTTAGTTCCTGGAAAATATATTGATATTAATATTGAAGACAATAATTCCAGTGAAAGTTGTTTAAGAAACGAAACAAATGATATTGAAAATAAAAAAACTAAAAACACTTGTGAAAAATTAGCTGTTATATTTAAAAAACACAGGATTAACAGGCGTTGTGGTAATGATATTTTAGAACTCTTAAGATCAGAAGGTTTAATTGTACCAAAATCCTCTTCAACGCTTTTGAAAACATATAAAACTTCAACAATTGATGATAGCGAAATGCTATAAATTATTTTATATTAGTTTTAGTTAATTTTAGATATGTTAAGTTATATTAAGTTAATTATTTAAATTAATTTTCATTATGTTTACATTTTTTACTAGTTTATTTTTAATATCTTAATAAAATTTATAATAATTTATAATAAAATTTATAATTTACTTCTAAAACTTTTAATTTTGAATGTAATGCAAAAAATTATTATATAAAATAAATAAAAGTACAAAATACAACAATTTCTTTCTACTTATTTAAAGAGAAAATTGAAATTCATTTAAAATTTAAAGAGCGCAATAAAAGAGTAGAAATAAAAAAAGGGTGAAAAAATTATATGAGCACTGCACTAAGAGCGCACAACTTTCTGTCGAATGCGTCCGTTATGCAAGACATGGTCTTCGAGACGGTCTTCGAGACATGTACACAAAAATTCATTGAAGACATTTGGCTAATTTGTATGAAAGTGTCTTCGAAGACCGTCATACATTTGGATCGATCGGTCTTCATGTATGTATCCATGTCTTGAAGACGTCTTCGATGACGGATCGATCCATTTTCTACTGGGTATGTAAAGCGCGGTGCAGACTATCATACTTGTGTGTCATACGAGAGAGAAAAACGTTGTGTGACACACCAGTATGATAGTCTGCACCGCGCATAAGTGATCAAATGATAGTCGGTCACCAAATTTGTGGGTGCTATAAATTTTTTAATTTGCATAGAAAGCAATAACATATGTGGTGATAATTCATCACATTTAATTAATAAATATTAAAGATAATTTTGACGTATACTATAACAAAGACCATTTACGATTTTTGATTTGATTTGATATGGACGTTTTTGTTACATTGCACATAATTTCAAATTTATTAATATAGTTCTATTTAGATTCATAAGATAATATTTACTTTTGAATAGCAAATATTGTTATTAAGGTCGTGTGCGAGTTATACCAGGTTCGCACTATCTCATTTAGGCACTTGCTCATTTATATAAATGAGGAACCGTTCACATAATAATGAGCTCATTTATACAGCTTTTAGAACTTTTATATGTCAAAAAAGCTATAAAAGAATTTTCTTTTGTTTACAAATAAAACACAAAGAAAAATTTTGGTATTGTGTAAAATATATATTTTAAAATGGAAAACGCAGAAAATTTAAAAAACATAATATATAATGTGTGTGAAATTATTAATAATAGAAAGAAAGCAATTTCTGAATATCGTAAATGTCGTGCAATGCACCGAAAAAATATACTTGAAATAAGAAAAAAGCAAATAGCAATACTTTCTACAATAATTGCTAGCAACCGGAGGAAGTGCTGGACTTTGGTTAGTGCCGCCAGTAATGATTATTAAATAAAGTTTAAAATTAACATTTTTTTTCAGAAAAGAACAAAGAAATTCTGGGAAGTGGATTGCCAGAAAAATGGTCCAAATTTTTTCAAAGAAAATTTTCGCATGAGTTAGGAATGTTTTAAGGAGTTATGTGAATTATTAAAAGGACTACAGAAAAGAGATACAACCTTTCGAATTTCAATTTCTTTAGAAAAGAGAATTGCTATTGGCTTGTATTGCCTTGGGTCGTCGGCTGAATACAGAAGCGTAGCAAATCTGTTTGGCGTTGGCAAGTCAACCGTGTGCATTTGCCTGAAATTATTTTGCCAGGAGGTGTGGAAAATTCTTTCACCCTTGTACATGAATGCATTTCCATTAACAAGCGACAAGGTGAATGAGTGCATCAGAGGATTTGAGGTTCTCGGTTTTCCACAATGTTTAGGTGCAATGGGTAAGTTTTCAATTTACTATTACTGAAACATATTAATTGTAAACAACATTAAAGATGGAAGCCACATTGAAATAAAACCAGAATCTCAGAATGCTGTTGACTACTAAAACTATAAAGGGTGGTACTCGATTGTTTTGTTTGCCCTCGTAGATTATAGGTTAGTAATTTATAAGTAAATAAACAACGAAATTTCAATAAACGCGCAAATATATTTTACTGTTTATTTACAGATACCGTTTTCTTTATATAAATGTTGGGTATCCTGGAAGAGTCAATGACTCTTTTATTTTTGAAAATTCATCACTTAAGAGCCAGTTAGAAAATTGTGTTGCTTTAGAAGACAAAAGTAGGGTGATTAATGGTGTCAAAATACCCGTATTGATCCTAGGTGATTCTGCATTTCGATTTTCCACCAAAGTTATGAAACCATACCCTTATGATGAAAACGCTAGCATTGGTCAAAAAACTTTTAACTACCAATTATCTAAATGTCGAAGAGTGGTTGAAAATGCTTTTGGGCAGCTTAAGGCAAGGTTTCGCAGAATAGGGAAGGGCATTGACAACAAAATCGAAAACGTGAACAGCATAATACGATCCTGCTGTGTTCTTCACAACTTTTTAAATGAAAAAAATGATGTAGTGGAAAAAAGTTGGGTACGTGCTCTGAAAAAACAACATCTGGTTTCAGAACGACAACAACCAGAAGAAGTTTCAGTATTAAATGACGGCGATCTAAATGCAGAACAAATAAGACGATGTTTAGCTACATTTTTTAGTAAGTTTTATTAGAAATTCACCTAATCCTAATTTTTAACTTTGTAGCACTAAATAACTTAATCTAATTATCCTATATATTTATAAAAAAAAAGTAACTTAATCTAAATTATAATAGTATAATGATAACAATAATTATAAATTATGTTATATTATTAATAAATAATTATCGCTATTCATCGCTGGAGTCATCGTAACCAGTGAGCCGAGTATATGGAAAACCTCTTTCCATTGATGACGCGATACGGGATAAAGCAACATTGCTTTCTTCCATTAAATTCAGGAACCTTGCGTCTGTGTGTTCCTGCAGCTCGATGTGACGGTTCTCTACATCTATCAGATTCTGAAATTTTTCCAAAAGGGTGTCATTCAAATTGCCTTTATTTTTTTTTTTTGCAGGTGTTTCAGAATCTTCCGACGTAGATATTGGATCTATCGGTGGAGAAGAGCATGGCGACAGCAACGATGTATCATTTGATGACGGGGCCTGGTCTGATATATAAACACATTCATTATTTTGAAAAACTTAAACAAATTTGTGAAAACTCACCTGCAATACTTTCAAACACTAAATTTGTAGTTATGTATGGGCAAATTGCCTAAAAATCTCTTCAATATATGGAAGTACTTCCAATCGGATGGCGCCCCTCCCGAAACTCCAACACACTGCTGTTCTTTCCTGATTTAAAATAAACAAACAAGCAAATTAATAAAAATAAATAAAAAAATTAACAAAATTACATTTAAATCTCTTTTTATTATATAAAATTACATAACATAATAAAAAACAAAACAGTTTCAATGCACAAATTATTATTGTAATTTTCAATTTCACTTATGAAATACTTACCTAAATCTTTGCGTAAAGTTGTGGACCTTCGTTTGCACTTCTAACGAAGTGACCAGAAAACCCCTATTCTGAAGTTCTGTGGCCATCTCATTGAAAATATGTGCATTCCGTCGGGCGCCCCGTAATTGTGGCAGTCTTTCCTCCCATATTTCCAAAAAGTGCCTCTCGGCACTTTCCGACCAAGCATTTCTCCTTCTCTTCATTTTCTGTGTCTGAAAATAATATTTAATTAAATTAATCCAAAATCAACTATTTAAATTTGTATTGCCTATTTAATTCATGAAAACAAAAAATTTTATTAAATACTAGTACGTACTTATTTTTGACATTGACATGAATCCATCTGAAATAAATGAATATATCTCACTAAAAAATTAAATATTTCATTGATATATTAAATCATTTATATACATGTTATATATCAATTACATATTCAATTAATAAAAACAGATTGTATTTAATACTCACTTTCTCAGTGTACTTGTTTACAGCACAGTTGTTGTTTGTTTACATTTTATATTTAAAAATATATGACAGATACTTCAAATTTTGGTCATTTCCCTTTTGGGAAATTTTTTTTAAAGGGTTGCATTCGACAATTTTGGTCTAAAATGAGCTGATTTATTGTAAATCAGCACATTTATATGAAAGCTCTTTGTATGGTAAATCATGCTCATTAGTGATTATAATGAGCAAAACCGCCTAAATGAGATAGTGTGAATGTACTATTAGGTTAAGTTGATGCTAAACCAAATGGGAGATTTTTTGGGATTTTTTGCACTGCACACATTTAGCCATTTATCAACACGTATCGACACATCACTACATTATCGGCTCATCTTAGAATTTCCCTCATTTAGAACGCAACTTAGCCTAACTCGCACACGACCTAAATAAATAAATAATTCAAATTGAAGAAATATTTTAAGATTTGCTGCCCCACTTTTTTAAATGTATTGATTATGTATTTATTATTTGATTGCCTAGCTAAACTCAGACTACAATGCCCGTTTATGATCTTTGATTTAATAAGATCGCTTTTTCAAATTTCATGAAAATAACATATAATCATATAATATATTTTTGAACCCTGTTTTATTATTAAATTAAAAGTGTTACTCTCCTTTTAGCAATTAAAATGTAGAGCAGAAAGTTGCTAACGCAAGCGCAAGTGAATTTGTGCTCATATGTTCGAGTTGCATCCTTAACAGAACGGCAGAACGGCACACATCAGCTAACAAACAACAGCATTCGATATCATGCTGTTATTTACAGTTCGTACTGTAAACACGCTGTACAGTACTGTGTATAGGGTGGCATGCCTGAATTTATGTGGACTTACAAGAACTCATTAAATGCTTATGTTAGAAGTTTTTGTTGTAACGAGCATGTACCATTGACATGGTGTACTGTTAACAGGTGGCAAAGTCGGCGTTATTGCATCAGTTACATTTGATGTGCGTTTGGGTGTGCGTGTTAGTAGGATATGTTTCAGTTTCGAGTTCAAATAATTAATTTAATTAAGTTTTTTTAAAATAATTAATATAATTTTTTTGTAAACATTAACAAATTAACAACAAAAAGTGAAAAGTGTTTGAAAAAGATCTGTTAAAAAAAAAGTTCTCTTCTTTAAAAAATGAACTATTGGTTCCAATTTCAACCAATAGTTATAGCAAATAGCAAAAAAAAATATTTGTGTTTTGTGAAAAGAAAAAATAATCAATTTTTGTTACTGGATCTGGATTACTGGGTTACTGGATTAAGTTCTTAGCTAAATTTTAAATAATTATGTTTTCAGCTCAGTTAGAATTTTTCAAATCAATTTTAATGTCATGCACAAATAGTATCATTCTAAATAGTGCACATAGATTTGATTAATTAAAAATATATAAATATTCATAATTTCTTAGAATGTTGAGTTAAGTTTATTGTCACGTCATCTTCCATGATGATAACGTTTGAACTATACACCTCGACCAGTGTTGATCCTGCAATTTCATACGTAATCATCAAGGCCCAATGGAGTACAATCCATATTCTTCACCAAAGTTGTTGTTATTCCTTCTTAAGATTGTTTGCGCAAGCATGTAGTGTGACATCTTTAGGGCGTCTTTTGGTTTTACAAAAGTTTTTGGAACTATTTTAGAACAAATATTATTCGTTCGGAAGGAAAGTTCAATAACAGTAAAGTTGTCTCCGCCAAGGTTATAACCAAATTCTTTATTCTTTATTACATATGAAAAACCTAATTCTAGAGATCTTAGGATAAAAATAAACAGGGTACTGGCTCCTAATAGAGCGGAGCACCGCGATTGTAGTTGATCTTTTTTGCTGCTCTAGAGATCTTAATTTAAGTACAATTACAAAGTTTAGAACTATTTAGTATTTATATTGGGATCACTTTTCTTGACTAAAAATTTACTCATATTACATTCTGTATGTTATTTATATGGGACTACTTACTGTTTATAATTTTTGGAGCTTACTTCACCGGAAAGCTCAGAAGTTGTGAAATCATTTCAAATGAAATCCGACTCTCATTATCTTATCGTCATCATCATCGTTCTTTAATCAGTAATCAATGGAGTCTTCAATCAAATTTTTAGTTATACTTTTCAGTATAGAATTTTTTCATTATTTTTCAATAATGCTGAAATTGAATTAATTAACGAAAATTAATTAATTTCGTTTATAAACTTCAGATTAGCTTACATACATTTTACCTATCTTACAGTAAAGTTATGAACACCGTAAAAACTGTAAAACTGCTTGTCTTTTGTGGCAAACCATTCGTCGAGCCATTTTTCAATTGCTTTGAAATTGCTGAGAAACTATTCTGCGATCGCGTATCCCATTGATGCGAAGAGTTGTCAAAAGACGTCAGATCTGAGATGTGGAAGAATGCCCCATTTAAATGATTTAAAAGTTTCTTTAACTGGTTTTGCTGTGTGAGATGGCACATGGTCATGTAACAAAACCACTTTGTCATGCCTTTTGGCCTATTCCGGTCCTCTTTCGATCAATGCAAGATATAAATTAATCATTTGTTAATAGTAGCTTACTGCATTAACGGTGGTCGTTAATGGGCTTCAAGTGTTCATAATACATAATACAGATCTGTCCTCACCAGATATAAATTATGGTCTTCTTTTCGAAGTGATTCGGCCTTGATGTTGAAGGATCGGGTTCGACAGGTGAAAATCACGATTTTTTTAGTTTTGAATTTTCAAAATAAGTCCATTCAATAATATCCGTCACAACTCAATACAAAAATGAGGATTCATTTACCCAGTTTGTTGGTCTTTCCCATTGCTAGTAAACGTTATCATACAATAACTGCTGCAATTACTCGTCTTCACACTTTTGTGGTGTACCAGAACGCTCACTGTTTCACAAAGAAATTATATAGTAAATAATTATAACAAATTATTCCTTGGATAAATCTAAAAATAAGTTTAAATACTTATAGTTATAAAACATTAATAATCCTTTAACTTTATTTATGTTGTAATACTGTGATCCTACAGCTCGTCTATTAGGATTGGATTTAGTTGAATATGTTAATTATTTCTTTATAGAATTTTTATATTTTCAAAGTTATTATTTAAATATACTTATTTCTCAAAAGCTAAGATTTTATACATATTATTGATGGTCTGAAATGGCGTCCTCTTCGTCTTCAGCCGTGAAACGAACACAAATGCGTACTGCATGGTCAGAAACACAGCAGCTTATGCGTTCTTCTTTAGTACAAGATGCAATGCGGTATTCATTGCCACAATCGCAGTTGTCATCTTCTCGATTATTGAAGCAATCATCAACTCAACAACAACAACCACAATCAGAGTTGTATTATTCGGGATTGCAAACAGACTCTAAATCATATTCTTTACGAACAAAAGAAGGACCACCTATTTATCAGTCTTGGACGCCAACGCAATTGTCGAAATCTTTTTCATTGCAAGGAGAAGAATCGTCAATGCAATTTTTGAGGTCAGACTCCACTAGGTGCTCTTCACTGTTGCAAACAAAGCCATCGTTATCTAACGCATTCTCGCACTCAAAGCAGTCATCACTTAAGCAGTTCGATGAATTATGCTCCCGGCCACAAAGTAACATAAAGAAATATATATGTTGCAGTTATTGGTAAGGTAAGATATGCTTTATTTTGTTGAAGTGGTCAATATTTTAAAAAATAAATAAAATATACTAAACACATCAAATAACAACAAAAATTTAATAAACGATTATTAATCTATATATGTTATATATAAAGTGAGAAATAGTCCTCATAGGCCTTATTTCGCTGCAATTTTAAACAAATTCAAATAAAGGAACTAGAGAAAAATTTCACTATGGTTGGTAAATGCTTTATATGAGAGATACACTTTGATGTTCTAGGTCTTCTCATTAAAGCAGATTTGGAGTAAGAATTCATTTATTATTTATATTCAACTAATTTATTATATTATTTAGTTATATTATATTATTCTATTGGTGTCTTGTATGATAAGATTATACACAGTAACTAGAATAATATTCAAGAGATTGCGATATTTTTAAATATATACTGCAACCTTATTAATAGGTACTATTACTATTAAGTAAAATTTATTTAGATGGAATCTCAAAAAACTCATCACAATAAATGAAACATTCAGAAACAGCGACTACTGATAAAACAAATAATAATAAAAAAATTAAATTAGACTATTCAATTTAATATGTTGAACAGTTTTAGGCGAAAGGTCTCAAGACTTTGTTTTGATTTTAATAAGAGTAACATTTATAGTGGGTTCGCGGGCATTCCATTATAGTAGGAAATGAGCCCGTAGATGGGCTAACTGCA